AATTATATTATTAACATTAATATTTTATTTTTTATTAAAAAATTAATACTTTTTTTTTATGTTCGCAGGCAAATTTGTCTGCTTTACAGTTTAAGGGATAATATTTAGTAGTTTATATTTTAGTAAGAAATAAATATTGAAAAATTGAATCAAATTGTAAAAAAAAAAAAAAAAAAAAAAAAAATATTTTATATCAATAATATAATCAAATCTATTTTACTTAAAAATTAAAATGTAATTTCAACACTTTTTTTAATACATACCTCATAATATAATCCTTTTATTTTTTTTAATTAAGTAATTATATATAAGTTATATTAATATCTGTAATATGTAATATTTTATTTGATAAAAACTTATTAATTGATATAATGATCTTATTATTCTAATTTTAAAAGTTACGTTTAATATTACAACCTTTTAGATCATCTAAAAGATGGAAATATTTGCATAAATATATTATTATACCTGATCTTTATTTCTTGTAGTCTCAAAACAACTTTTTAGTAAAATTCGTACCACAGTCACGAGTTTTTTGATTTTAAAAAGGTATCGATTTAATATTATTAAAAAATAATTTATTCCGAACTGTAAAATTAATAACTCAAGTATATTACGAACTTTTAAATCGACCACGTATCAAGCATTTGTACAAGCAAAAAAAAATCAGGTCAAAATCGATATTTACAGAATAAAAAACAATCTTTATTATTTTATTAAAGCATGAAACAAAGAAAGGAATTGAGTATCTTATGGATACTCTATTGATCCCACAATATACGTTACAATAATAAAAAAAATATATATAATTCCTAAAATTAATCACAAAATCATTCATTCATTTTTTCTAGCTTGTTCAAGTCTAGCAACACGATCCGCTTCAGTGGTACAGGTAATAGAAACGCCCTCCTTCAAAACTAAAGGTAAAACGGCACATTTTGTTCCGGAAGCACAAGCGGACAAGGCGAATTTTCCATTGGCACATTTTGCAAATTTTTCACCAACACAGGCCTCTTCATTTTCTGCACATTTTTGATCTTCTTTAAATGATTTGAATTTATTTTGTAAAGCTTCTGCTTGATCGGCATTCTTTTTTCGAATTACTGCTATATCACCTTTTGCTTGTCTCTTTTGTTTTTTACCGTTGGATTTGGATTTTTTGCTTTTACTACCCTTTCGGGCATCGGCAAGACGAGCTTTTCGATCAGCTTCGGTGGAACAGGTAATAGATGTCCCCTTTTTATTAACCAAAGGCAAAACAACACATTTTAATTCACCGCCACCGCAAGAATTTAAAACGAACTTTCCACCGACGCATTGAGCGAATTGACCTTTCACACAAGCATCTCCTTCTTTACATGGTGATTTTGGTGACAATTTATCGAATTGTTTTTGTAATTTTTCGGCATCATCAGCGTTCTGTTCACGGAAATTTTGAGCTGATGCTAGAGTAGCATAGGTAACGAGAGAGAAGACGAAGATTGTTGAGAATTTCATAATTAAATTTTTAGGTGGTTTATATTATTTGAGGATGAGATTTTTTAATGCTACCTGAGCAATATTTTGAAATTATATATATATTTTTTTTTAATAGAAATAATTCAACGTCAAGTTGAGATTATTGTGGGACTTTTTTTATTAAATAAGAGAGAATTGTTTTTTTTTTTTCTCTCGAGCTGCTCGGGGTCATATTTATATAAGATTGAGTGAACACTTTGTGCTTCAAAGATTAAAATAGAGTTAACAAGGCGGTCTATATATCGTATGGGACAAATGCAGTAATTACTTTAATTCTTTTGGAACAACAAGCGCGTGTTCTTTATTTAAAAGTTGCGCCCATGCGAAACGGCCGATCGTCACATTGCCTAAAAAAAACGAGCTCGGTCTTCGTTACAATTGGTTAAACACACAACATCCAACTCTTTATTTGTCAATTTCATTTCCTTTTTTGTAACAAAGATGGTATCAAACTTTTTGAGATATTATTCCATGTTTCGAAAAAAAGAATCTGTCACGTCACGTTGCAATAATAATAATAATAATAATAAACTTTAGATGGACTCTCTAAAGATTTCATTATCATGTAACCAAGAATTTTTTTTTTAAAAAAAAAATCAACGCAACACTTCATAAATTTTTTGTTTATATTAATTAATTAATAAGGAGCGAGATTAAATAGTTTGAAAAAAAAAAAAAAAAAAAAATCTTGAGATTTCGTTTATATTGAAGCGGAAAATTATTATTAATATTTACCTTTTTAAAAATATTGTTCTTACAATATTTCCAATAATAATAATTATTATTTAGCACAACCGAAAAAAAGTTTTTCCGATAATGAATATTGGATGAGTTGTACTACAATGGTGAGTTATGAGCACATTGTAAATACATTTTCCTCCTTATTCTTTTTCTTTGAGTTATGAAACGTATAGATTGCGATCGCCTTTAACCTTGCATGACCCTACGAATCATGGCTTAATGACCATAACAAGCTCGATTCCACAAAGAAACTAGAACAAAAGTCGTATGATGCTTTGATGTAGATCTTGGAATGACTTTACGCCATTAATCATTTGGCTTAAACGCCTCTTTTTTGTTTTTCGAACAGAATAATTAAGATTGTTATCTAATTTTAGAATTAAATCATATCTAATCAGAATCTTATCATTAGTGCAATTGCATGTAAGCCAAGCCGTGGATCACTTCCCTTTACTGTAATTAGGTGTGCTACAATAATAAAAAGTGTTTTATTGTGTAATTTGAACTACGTTTACCCAAACATTTTGTGTATATGGTCATTTGTGTATAACGTGATCATGAGTAATAATATCTTTACCATTATTCCTTAAAATTAAAAAGAATTTTTTTTTTTTCGTGCGAATCAAAAAAAGTCATCATGAATCATAATTAATAAATCTTTTAAAAGATGTTAATTTAGGGGCAGAAAACAATCAATCAATATTCATTAAGCCTTACATAAACAAACAAAAGCACTTTCTCACCCCACACTCCAACAGGTTCTAAAAGAACTCTTCGGTAATGTGATATTTGTCATAACATAGTTTTAAGTAAAACTAGGTAAACTTGTTTGGCGTACATAATAAAAAATTTTTTTAATGATGTATAAAAAATGGTTTCTTTGGGGTAGAGAAGATCTATCAATTTTTGGTATTCACACAAGTTACATGTTGCTTTTTTTTTTTTAACCGAATCGAACGATTTTTTAAAACAAATAAAAATGTGGACAAAAAAGTTTTTTTATTTTGTTATAGAATTTTGAATAAAAAGAAAATTCGGTGATTGATGAAACGTACATTGTTGTAATCCTCAAATGATTGGGATTGACTCGGGTTACCAATCCCTGACACCCCATAAGTGGTTAAAAAGGATGGCTTATTATTTTGAATATTCCACAATGGTGCACGCCACTTGTAACAAAATCGGATGCATTTCAGCAATTGGAATTACTATTTTTATCATGTACCTACCCCACACAAAATTCATTTTTTTCGTTTGTTCTTAAATCTCGAAACTTCCTCCCTTTCCCACGAATTATAATTTTGGTAATTCATTATTTAGTGGACGGATTTCATTATGACATCATCCTCCATTTAAAATTTTTTTAATTAGTCCATTTACAATCATACTTGATTGAACTTTCTCGATATTCCTATATAAACACCATTACTTTGAAGCTCAACATTTTTCTTCATTCTACAAAGTAAAGTAAAAAAAAATCTTTATAATCATAATTGTTATATCACAACATTATTTCGCAATCAACCAAATACTTTTTTTTAAAAAATATTTTTCATCCTCTAAAAAAACAAACCAACGTAAACCTTTTTTTTTTTAAAAGAATGTTCGCAACAACCTTTGAACATAACGAGACCGCCTACGGTTTCAACCTAAGAGGTTTCCAAGCTTTTGTTCCAGATGCTTTCGGTTCTGATCCAGGTAAATTTGACAATACTTTCGAGCGTATGCTTTGAATTTTCTTTGAGACTTCCTTTGAGAAAATGGAAATGTTAACCCCTTTTTTTTTTTATTACTTTACTAGCTCAAATGGAACGCTATTACAATGAGATCTACGTTTACGGTCCGGATCCAAGGTTCCCAATATCACCTGCCGCAATAGCAGGTGCTGCCGCATACAAGGTAAACTTCTCTATTATTTTCTTTTTTTTTTTCGATCCAGTAAACTAAAACTAAAAAAAAAAAATTTATCTTCTTTCAGGCTGTTCGATCACAACCACCAAAGATGCATACCATGCCATATTACGAGGATTTGCAAACAATTCATTTACAGGCCATTTCAAATATCAAGGCGGTGGCTGCTCAAGAAGCCCAAAATCTGTTGGCACGTTTCCACCTACCCAACATAGATCCTAACATCGTTATTATATCAGCTGAAGCCGCCGCACATCGTTTATATGATCACGAAAATAACGATTAAAAAATCTTTCGTGGCTATGGGAAATGGAATTTTATAAATCTTTTTTCACGATTCTTCTTATACAATAAACGAGTTGTTTTATTATGTATCATGTATATAGCAACTTTTTCTTTTTTTTTAAAAACTAAAGACAAAAAAAAATCATTTTTTATTCTTATTACTTCAAATAATTTTTAAAACTTAATCAACTAATTAATAAAAGAATATTTCCAATTAGTGGCGCGTTTAATTTTCACGTGTATAAGCTAAACAAAAATCCTCCTTTTTCAATTAATAATTAAGAAAGTTTTTATAATTTTATTTATTTAATATTTACAATGAAAGGTAATATAATTAAAAATTAATATATAGTTTCGAAAAACTTTTTTTGTTTCTATTATTTAATATATACCCAAGTTCACCCGGATATCGTGAGAGCCATTTGTAACCAATCCGAATTTCTCAACTCTTTCATAATGAAACAGGCAACATTTGCTCTGCTAATCTTTGTAAATGTTAATTTATCATTTAACCTCCATTTATTGGTCAAATTTCCATTACTCAATTTACCGGGCCTTATAATCGTCCAATCGAGTTGATCGGAATATTTCATTATTATCTTTTCCTGCATCTCCTTATCATCCAAGATCTTTCCGGAGAATAACCTACCAAAGAACTTTTGCGTGGAACTAATGTTTACGCTAGAGTCACCGACCCCTTGTGTGCTGACAACGATTAACCTTCGTACCCCATGATTTATCATGGAATCTATTATAAGTTGTTGGGATCGACTACATATGTCAATATCATTATTATTGAACAAGAGGTGCGGTCCGAGGCAATTTATCACGGCATCCTGCCCTTCTATCACCTTATCCAAATCCTTGCGGGATAACACCGATCCTACCATTATTACGAGATTCGGATTACGGAGTTGATAACGTGTAAAAGGGAGGTTCAGGTCGGAACGAACCAATGCCGTCACGTGATATGACGCATCCAACGCTTGGTTTACCACCTGTGCGCCCAAACGTCCGGTCGCTCCGAGAACTAAAAAAAAACCAAAAGAGCACGAAACGGTTAGATGATGTGACGTGAATTTAAAATTTTCTTTAAAAAAAGGAAAAAAAAAAATTTTTTCCAAGGTACACATGAATTTAAATAAGTTTTGAAATGAAAAGGCTCACCTAAAATATGCTTGCCACGCATGGAGGTCGGAACGTAATCCTCAAGATTTATAAAATGAGGAAATGTGGTAACATCGACAAGGTTATGCGCTTTATGTGACGTTCTTGTTGTTCTTGTTCTTTTTAAAGATTGTGTTAAAGGTAATTGTATTTTTATCATTTTAGATATGGTAATTTTTGTTTATTTTTATTTTTTATTTTTTACAAGAAAAATAATAAAAAAAAAAAAATAATAACGAATGCGTTTTGCTATTGTTTTTATTTTGATAAACCGGCAAATAAAAAGGAGCAAAATGTAAAATAATTAATTATAAAGGGTCAAAATGAACAATAGGACAAAGGGAAACCTTAAAAAAAAAAGTGTCGTTAAAAAAAAAGAAAATAAAAAGGACTTTTAAAGGGACAATAACAATTAAATTTTTTTTTTTCAATTATTAACCGCTCAACGGTAAGATGGAGAAGAAAAAAAAAAAAAATTAGGTGGAAGAATTCAGTGAGATTATAAGAATGAAAAAAAAAATAAAAGACTTCTAATGTCCGGATTTGTACGCACTAAAACAGATAAGCAGGGTAATTTGATGTCAAAAAAAAGTAATGATGTCGGTTATTTCTATTTATTTTACAATGGGGTCTTAATAAAATTTCCAAGACTAGCCAAGATGATACGATTGTTATTTGTTTCAGAAAACAAATGTGTAATTTTGATGTAAATCGATGCCAAAAAGAAATGTTCCCTGTGTCTATTTAAAGCTTTATTATTGTTTTCTATATATAAAGGTGATAATTAAAATAATTAATTTGGAAAAAAATTTGTTTAGGTGTTTAGAGTACGTTTTAAAAAAAAAAAATTAAGCGGAAAAATTTTAAAACTTTTCTTCAAAACGAGAATAATGTGTAATACCGACAACACAACAATCATAAATAATGAGAAATGTGAATCACTTGTTCCCTTTTTATGAACCTATTGAATTATTTATGGGTTCTTGTAAAAAAAAATCGCAGACTCTTGTTGTATATATACATTTTCTTTGAAAAAAATAAATATTAATAAAATCTCTTTTTATTTTACCTGATTTGTTCCCAGAGTATCGTTGTTTATTTTTGTCAAATTTAAAATAAAAAAGAAAGAAAGGAATGATGCATATTATTTATGAGATACATGTCCTTTTATCGTTACTTAAACAGGATATAAATTCGCTTTTGCCATAACGCACAAAACGCACAACATGACAATGAAATTCGCTTTTGTGTCACATTATTTCTCGATTGCATTCATTGTAGTTAATCAAAACGAGAAGGGAAAAAGAAAGAATAGACTTTATAATTTAGGGTTTATTTTAATTTAATATATATGAATAACGTGAGGTATATTACGTAAATATGACTGAGTGCATATTTTAAAAGGCGTCGAATGCAGAATCTTCGTACTAATTAATTAATGAATGACTAATAGAATTTTATGGAACGTTCATTCTGGTAAATATTTGTCACTGTATGTGACTACATGTATCTACAGGAATTATTTTTAATAAAATGAAAATGGAATTCAGAACATTACGATTCAAAGGGATTATTGGGTTGAGCGATGTAAAATGATGAATGGATTTTATTGTTCAAGGTCCCTTAAAAATGGTTTACTATGAATTACATGAATGAATTGGTAATGAATGGATCTTTGTGAATCAGGGATTTAATGTACTAAAAAAAATATATGAGCTTCACCTTTTTACCTAGTGCTAATTCCACTGTAAATTTCAACGATCAATGCAATTTGTTCACCGATCTCTATCCAGATACAATAATTACATGCATCAATTAAAGAACTACGATATTGGTTTGATTACGTTTTTGTTGTTCTCCGCGATCCGAAAGCTCTTTTACTCCTTGTGGTAGATATTCTGTTTCATATTACCTAAACTCTAATGCTTGATTTTTTAAATGCAACATTTAACCGGTTAATTCAAATATATTATAAAATTATTATTTTTAATAATTATATTACGTTACCTCCCATATATATAATTATACAAAGATTTTTTTAATAATATCAAATAAATAGAAAATAAATTTCAACCTTTATAATAATATAAAAATATAATTAATAAACATTTCACAAATTTTATTATAAAATATTATTTCTCAAATAAATAATTTTTAACCAATATCTGCTTTCACTTTCACTGAAAGTCATTTCGTTATTGGAACCTAAAACAACCGAAACTATATACTGCCTGGTAGTAACGAGAGTAATCTCAATTAGTGGTCAGTTTGGAACACGGCATCGCAGGAATATCATTAAGCTATCGACCCGTAAGGATAATAAGGAATACATTTATATATAAATCCACTACTTAAAATTATATTGCACATGATTAAAAGAAAAACTTTAGCGATATATCCAGATTGTTTATTATACTTTGTTCTTGAAGCTATTTGTGATATTACAATATAAGCTATTACTTATATACAAAACATTAAAAAAAGTTTAATAGTTTAGCATGTATGTTAATTATTTATAAATTATAATTTATGCTTAATTAAATTTCTATATACTATTATCGTTATTATTATTAATATTAATTATAAAAGAACAATTATTAAATGTGTTTTCTTTAAAGAACTTTGGAAGTGAGTTGAATCAGAATTCTTTGTACAGAATCGTTTGCAATTCTAAAATAAGAACCTTGATTATAGGAGGAGACGAAATAGAACCTTTCGTTTTAAGATCATTGGGTTCATTTAAATTTACTTTCAAAATTTATAACTAGCTTTATTAGATCTTATCGATCGATTTTTATTTTTTTCGTATTTCATTCTTTTTTTTTTTGTATTTTGGTTTTTTCGATATATTTTTCTTCGATCGATTCTTTTTTTTATTTAATTTATTTTATTTTTTTTATAATTTTTTCTTTTTATTTTATTTTTTTTTTATATATTCTTTTCGAAATGATTTTCGATATTTGAAATTATTACTTTACCAATAATTAATGTCAGTCTAATTCTCACCCAAACCCTTATATTTATCGAGGTTTGTTGAGTGAAGACACTGACATTTAATTTGAGTAGCGTAATAATTTCGATATCCGAAATCATTTCAAATATCTGATATGAAATTTGTATTTCAAACGGAAACCCTATATTTAGGTTTACAAAAGCAGGTAATTACAAAATAATACCTTAAATAGAAAGTTAGTTTAATGTAAATGTTCTAATCAAATGTATTATTAAAAATTATTTTAGTAAAGAATCAAAATAGCTTTTATAATTAATAAATAAAATTACATTTTAAATTTAAAATCAAAAATTTAATTTTTAAACATTACCCATTTTTGAAATTTAACTTTGACAACAACAAATTTGGTTATTTAGCCACAAATCACTTAATCAAGTCAGGATTTACTTGAATAGACAACAAGAAAATGCGCCAATCATAGTCCCACAAGAGATGTTTCGTTAAAAGTTACCTTCCTTACCTTATTATAGAAATTCCGCGGATGATTTGTTTTAACGTTTTAACAAATATTTTGTCATGAAATTTTTTTTTCACGAATTAAATAACATCCTTATCTGAAAATAAATTATTTTCCCAAATAGGAAAAATAATTCGTTCCCGGCTAATAATTACAAATAATATTAACGTTAACCGATTAACTGGGTTAACCGTTATTTCGATACACAAAATTGAAAGGGGGTCACATGAATAATATTTGATTGGCTGTTTAAAGGTTTTGCATCTAAAAAAAAAAATTTTACTTGAAATGTTCAAGGTTGCTTACTGATTATGGTAATTGTCATGATTCTAATTGTATGTTCGTTTATATGACGTAATTTTTTGATTCTAATGTTACAGGAACTTCTAATGTAATGTCTTATTCAACTTCGTTCCAAAAATTTCCATAATGTAGATGACAAATGTTAAATTAAATATTTAAAATATCGATCATCAATTGCTTATAGTAATTGTCATGATTCTAATTATAAAATTTTTGATTATTTGGAAGGTAAATTTTCGCACGCGATTAGCACATATAAATAGTGCTACATCTGAAAAAATTTTTCTCTACTTTTTTGCCAACGAAAAACAGTTCTGTCAAATAGTAATTCGCTACTGTTGCCCTCTGAAGGAAGTAAAGAGAGTTTTAAAATCTTTATTATTATTTTTCTTTTAAGAATAACTTTTTACATAAATTTTCATTTATTAATTTATTAAGAAAAAACCTTGACTACAAATGAAATGAAAGACTTTTCCAATAACGCTACGCTTCTTACAAATGAAACAAAAGGATTTCTTTAATAACGTTACACTTCTTATAAATGAAACGAAAGAACTTCAATAACGCTACACTTCTTACGAATGAAATGAAAGAACTTTGATAACGCTACGCTACAGACTAATAACACGAAGGACTTTTTGCTTCAAAATCTAAAATTTAAGGTAGACGCGAAAAAAGTCCATTTCTGATACAGGTCAAACTGTTAATAAGAGAAGTGTTATATAGTCATTTTAATATATTAAAGCAAATTAATCTTTTAAATAGCGTTGGCTTTGATAAAAATAACGCAATGCAGAGTAATTTATTACAAATTATCCCTTATTATTGACTATATAATAACCTCTTAACTCCTCGCTGATATGCTGCTGATGTACTTTGGCAGCGTTTACTGAATAATATTCTAAAAATCTAGAACCTAAATTAGTAATCCCATTGGTACTGGCTGTTCT